AGAACCAGCAGTGGAGAGCAAGAAAGAAATCTTAAAACGTTCTGGCAGAAGACAGAAGCCAATAGAAGACCTCCGAACTAGAAGGGAAAATAGCTCAACAGAGAGAACACCAATACAAGGAAATGAACATTAGCAGAAAACCATTCAAAGTGAAAGGACCTATCTAGAAATCCAAAAGTTGATTAGTGGAAATTCCAGAGACTATTTATAGGTACACACAGACATATATGTACGTATATATGCATACACACACATACATATATGCTGCTGTTGTTTGGAAGGATGTTAGGTTTCCTCAAGTCAGTTCTGGCTCAGCTGCTTCATACACAACAGCACAAAACATTGCCTGGTCATGAGCCATCCTCACAGTTGTGCACATGTGTGAGGCTATTGTTGCAGCCACCTTGTCCATGCCTCTCCTTGAGGGCCTTCCTCTTTGTTGCTGCCCCTGTTTACCAAGCATGATGTCCTTCTCCAGGAACTGGTCTCTCCTGACAATATGTCCAAAATACGTGAGACAAAGTCTCACCATCCTTGCCTCTAAGAAGCACTCCGGCTGTCCTTCTTCCAAGAGAGATTTGTTTGTCCTTTTAGCAGTCCATGGGTCTTTCAGTGTGCTTTGCCAGATGCATAGTTCAGAGGCATCAATTTCATCTTTGGTCTACATTTCTTACTCAAAGTCCAACTTTCATGCGCAGAGGAGGCAACGGAAAGTACCATGGCTTGGCTCGGCTGCCCCTGAGGCACCAAAGTAACAGCCTTACTTTTCAGTCCTCTAAAGAGGTCTTGTGCAGCAGATTTACCCAATGCAACGCCTTTTTAAAAAAAAACCCAGTTTTATTAGCATTTCATTAGAATGTGATACAATTCAATAATTCAACCCTATCACCACATTCAATTCTAGAGCATATTCTTTCTTGTACTTATTGTTTATCATGTAATCATTTTTTTCTAATTGTGGTAAAAATATACGAAACAAAACATTCTCTAATTCTACAACTTCTACATGCATTATTCAGTGCCATTCATTATACCCTTCACGTTGTAGAACCATTATTGATATCCTTTCCAAATTATTACACCCTGAACATAAACTCAATGTCCCCTAGGCAACAATTCTTTCACCTTCACTCATGGTAACCATTATTCAGGTTTGAGATAATATTCACATAGCATACACTTCCATGGGTTAAATCACTTTCAAAAAGCATTGTATAAACATCATCACAACCAGTTCTAATGCTCCTGCTCCCCTCCTGCATTCATTGTTTGCTCCCTAAATCCCCTCACCCTCTCCATTCCCTAGGCCCCTCCTCATCTCCATAAACCAGTGCATCCTCATCTCCATAAACCAGTGCACCCACATCTCCATAAACCAGTGCACCCACATCTCCATAAACCAGT